AGCTAGTACGTTTGCTTCATGATGTCAGGGGCTTATCTGTCGTCTTCACAGGAATAACCTCAGTGTCAGGCACAAAGTGGATGGTCAATAAATATTTGTTAAGATGAAAGAGCAAGTTGAATAAAGAGAAAAGTAATCCAATCATGTTTGGATCAGAGTTGGGTAAAATATGTTTGGGTGTGGAATGTCAGTATGAAATTGGAAATTAAGAGAAAGTTAGAGGTTTCCAGGAAGCCCTTCAGTGATGTGCAGGAAAAGTTAAACTTAGTAAGAGAGCAATATATAAGCCGAAGCCTCGCACTTGTTTTATTTTGGGGAGGACTGATTATTCTCACAGTTGTGCCCAAACTGGATTGGATTAAGGAGAGGCTGGAATCAGGTTTTTTGTTGGAGGTTATCACACTATCGCAGAAAGGGTGATAAAGACTTGGATAGGGATATGCTGGGAAAATATTGGCAAAGAAGTACACTCAGGACTCCACAGCTTAAAGTTTTGTGGTAACAATGCACCAAGCAACCCAGATATAAAATATTGTTTCCTTTATTATAAGTCATTTAAAATGCCAGCCAGAAAACCACATTTAAAAAATATATGACTGCTGTCACATGAAATGAATAGAAGCCTTCATTTATACCCACTGCTTCCCCTTTGGTAGAACACAGTACTGCTATGATGATATCTGGATGGGTTTAATTGAAGAGAAGAACTGAGATTAAATTATGCCACTGCCACTGATTTCATAAATGAGGTAATGCACATGAAAAGAACCTGGTGCTATTAGTTAACTTTTCATCCAAATACCAAAGAATACTGCTGATACTTAAATTCTATTTTTTTTTCCTGCCAAATTGCTATCTGAAGGAAAATTATCTAAAACATTTTTCTTATAATGTTGCATTTGTTTAATATTCTCTCTTTTTTTAAAGCACTTGAACAAGATGATGAAAACAGTGACGAACACGTAACTATAACAGAAACTGATGGCGTTCCAGATTCTCAGGTATGATTAATTCTGTGATAGCCC